GATACCTTTTTGCCTTTTTACGGTTTTGAAGGAACATAATATATTAAATTCAATTGAAAATACGTTAAGTAAAGGCATTTACAAATTTTTGGGAGAGTGAAGTGAAATGAGAAGGAAACTTCCAGTTATACTGCTTGAGGATGATACTTGATTAGTATCGAAAGCTCCAAAAATTTGTAAGTGCCTTTACTTAATTGTCAGTTGTAGTTAATATATTAAATATGTTTTGATTTATATTTCGATTTAAACCAATTTGATTTACTTCTGTATTTCCTTTTCATCTGGACTGTCACTCACTATCATCAGTATGTGCATATCCTTAGCCAATAGCTCTGTACCTGTTTGAAGGTCTTTCGTTTTCCTCGCACTCTACTACCCATGGTTCTTCTTTGAAAATTTAAACGACAACAGAATAGAGAAGGGATGATATTCCTTAGTTCACACAAGACCTACGTGAATCATTTGGCGTGGGTAGTTTGTGTTTTCTCTGCCCGATATGATTGTTATCGTTTTGTCTTTCCACCAATTTGACTTATTTCTTTATTTGCTTTTCATCTGTACTGTCACACTAAATTTGTAATTATCAGTATGTGCATTTCCTATGTGCAAAATTCTAGGTCTTTCCTTTTCCATCGAAATATTTTGTTGTTTGTCACTGAGTTGAGATGGGTTTTAGGGTACGTATATTGCGGGTTTTTGTTGTGGTCCGAGCTCTGAAAGAGTGGAATTATTGGCTAGATAGGATCACCTCATTTTATGCCGTAAATCTTTCAAGAATGGTTTTTTTATTGACGCTACAATAATTCCTCTATCAGCCTTTTTTGCAGAAACCATGTTTGAGTCTGTTGTAGTCAGCGTTTAATCCAATTGCCATACCTGTAATGTGATATGGGTAACACAGGGTGTTCGTACACTGTGATTATTAATGAATTTTTCTCAAAAAAACTTTTTTCTATGTAAGTTAACGTCCTGCATTCCCAGGCAAACATTACCTATGGGAAAAATCTAGATACATTTCGTCTGTAATCGGGCGATACAGGTTGCCATCTAGATTACTAGTTGGAATCGTTGTTTCAAATTCGTCACAGATCAGACGTAAGAGAACGTTAATAATGTATGTAAAAGGGGTATGAAAGTTGCGTGACTTCTAAGATGTTGAATTTTGAAAAATTCTAGAAATGAGCCCTCAAGATATAGGTAGAGTGAGGTACCATCACTAACGAACTCATCTGATGTCTGCGTATAGAAAGTATAGTCTGTGTTGGAAAAGAGTTCTGAGCCAAAAATATCCGTGGCTCTCTGTTAACAAGAAGAAAACGATCATAATTATTTTTAATCCTCCCCAGGATTAAGTGGACGAACAAATTTTTCTTCAGGGAAAGACAAGATGCTGTTTAGGAGAAAACCCGATTTCTTGATTGAAAAGCGTAAATTTCTGATGGAGAAACAGATTTTTTGTCAGGGAAGGACAACAAGTTTTCGTCAAGGAAGGACAACAAGAAGCACCGATTTCTTGGTTGAAAAGCAAGAATTTCTTAACGAGAAAGAAATTTTTCTTGTGTTTTTGCTGAACAAATCGGTGTTTCTCCATAAGAATTTCACCTTTTGAAATGATAAAATAGTTGTTTCTCCGCTAGAAGTTCAAGGATTTTTCTGAAGAACTCGGTGTTTCTGCATAAGAACTTCATGTTTTTCCTGTAAAAATCGGTCTTTCTCCACAAGAACTTCAAGGTTTTTCCTGAACAGCTCGGTGTTTCTGCATAAGAAGTTCATGTTTTTTAATGAAGACATCGGTGCTTCTTGTTGTCCTTCCCTGACAAAAAATCTGTTTCTCCATCAGAAATTTACGCTTTTCAATCAAGAAATCGGGTTTTCTCCTCAACAGCTTCTTGTCTTTCCCTGAAGAAAAATTTATTCGTCCACTTAATCCTTCTTAATCAAAAAATCAGGCTTTCTCCGCAACAACTTCACGAAATTCACTGCATTCGTTGAGGATGTCACAAGCTCTTTCAATTGAAACGCTTAATGTTTCGAAAAATAGAAGAGTTCTGTCTAAATGTTTTTATATCATATTCATCAACCCTTTAACTATACGAAACAGATGATGATCTATTGATCTGCGCCAACACGTTAGAATAGACAACAAACGCAGCGTAACTACTTTATAGCAGGATTTTATGCCTAGTAGGTCTAACGCCTCTGAAGAAACAGATTTGTATCTTCTTTATTCTATGTTATGCCAATTTCGTGCTTAGATGATCCGTTTTATTCATAGAGTTCAAAAAACAGAGCACATAGCATCATTCTCTTTCGGATAAGTACTTTTTTCTTCATGCGAATTTTGACAGTTTTCCCTAGGCATCCATCAATTCTTACATCAGAAGTGGTGCGACAGTAGCACGAATTTCGTAAGAATAAGATAAGAATTGAGTAGGAATCATAAGAAAGTAATAAGAAAGAGTTCTTAGAGAGAGAGAGAGTTCTTATTAGTTTCTTACTGAGTTCTTATGAAATTCTTATAGCAAAATTTTTCGAACCACTCGCATGGTTCCTTCGGCAATTTTCTTGAGTTTTAAATGATAATGAATAGAAAAAGATTTTTTAAAAAAACCGGTCCGTTCAGGGTTTCAACCTGTGAGTTGTTCTTGATAATCCATGGATTCTCTTATTGAAATACTGCGGACACATTTATATATAAACATCGTGTCTGTATATTCTAACATAACATGTTTTTCAACTGAACTTCTGTTATAAGTGGCGCTTAGTATTTTGAGTATGGAAATCGCGTGTATCACGATGGAATATAATTTAGTGCACCGAAATTTTAAATTTATGATAGTGGATCCTAGACATGAGACTGCATTGGTAAAATTCTATGGTTTAACGAAATCTCCGAAGAAAAGTTATTTCTATGAAATCTTACTGGAACAAAATGAACAAAGAATAATTCTTGCAAAAATCTTGTAAAATCCTGATAAAGGATTCTTATTACTTTCTTACTCGATTCTTACGAAATTCGGGCGACTGTCGTGCCACTTCTTATATAAGAATCTAGTGATAATCGAATAAGATTGTTATCACAAATTTCAAAAGAATTTGTCCAGGGTTTACTCTTCGTGAAATGGAATAATTTTATTTTCTCTTCCAATTTATGATAGCACTGGAACTAGGGAAAATAGAACTTATATAAATATGAACTTCACTTCCATTGATAATGAAACGTTTCTTCTATAAAGAAAACGTCAATACAAAAACAAATAGGTGGCCCTTTATGAGTGGACAGTAAAATATTAATAACTTTCTTAGATTTCATTCATTTGTTATTTTTTTAGAATTCGAAGAAAATGGCAAAATTTTTCTTATTTCTTCTGTTCGTGATTATAATCTCATTCACGAATTCTCAATGTTGTCATCATCAACAAAAATTTGATAAGACAAATAAAATACTCAAAAAGAAGATATTAACATTTTTAGCTACTTTACAACGGGGTGTATGTTCGAATATCATATTAATTAAAACAAACAAATTTATTTTCACCAAAATTGATTGGTCGACTTTTTTTAGACGTTTGAATATTTATATGGCATATTTTGTGACATAGAAGGTTTATTACAAAGATCAAATACCGTTCAATCAACAGAATTAAGACAAATTACATTTGATCAAAACAAATATATATGTGGCGTTGAAATAATTTTAAATTTAGCACCAAATAATCTTAGTATAACATTTTTTGAATTTCTTGCATTTGATCGTGATTATAAATTATATGATTATGAAGCACAAGTAAGAAATAATGGACTTACATTTAATGACCCACCACAAACAAATGTTCCATTAATTGGAGAACTATGTCAAGCTGTTCAGCAAATATGCGAAGGTAGTAATCAACAGTATTCAAGCCTCGAAGATTGTATTAATTTTATGACTAACCAAATACCATTTGGTACATTCGATCAGGGTGATCAAAACAGTGTTGTTTGTCGAACAATTCATATTAAGTTAGCCTCAATATCGCCAGATATACATTGTCCTCATGTGGGAAAAACAGGAGGTGGAGCATGTACAAATAAAACATCACAATCCTACTATCAAGATGATAATTTTACGAAATGCGCACATAAACGAAATAAAAATTGGTAATCAAGAGAATGTGCACTCTCATTCAATAAAATCTCATTATTTTGTTTTTATTAAATTTTATTCCCACATTCTTGTTTTTGTTTTTTGAATAAAGGACGGTGAACCAGAATCGGTCGACAAGAACCATATTCGGCCCCATCTCATTTCTTCTCGAAAGATGTCTAGAATAAAAGAGCATGTCATCTTATGATGTTCTAGGCCCCTAGTTTCCCTTCAGACTTGATATTTGTGAGAAAATCGATTAGCTTTGATCAATTGTAATTTGCTTAGCATGATTTATAAGTGATGATTTGATATTACGAGACTCTAAAACATATAAACGAAAAGAAATCGTGAGCTAAGGTAAAACAGTTCCGCATTTTTCCATCTAAAAGAGATTTTGCTGTGAGAAACTAAATGATTTAGAGAAATTTACCATCTAGAAGTGGCTTCGACATTGCTGAAGAATTATAAGAAATGATTTTGTGACATTCTTGTTGACATTAATATCAAGTACAAATTGGTGGATATTTTTCCATAACATTCTTGATAAGAAATGCTGGTATTGAACGTTCTCCATTGGCTTTTGAACTGCATAGTTAAAATATCTGTGCTCACTATCAAGCTATCATCAAGCACATATGGAAAGGATATAAGACGATATATGTTATTTGATCGATCAATATAGCATCCGACTAACGCTGGAAGGTCCGTGAACCAATATTCCGTAAAACTGTTAAACAAAATAAATCTAGTAAAACCTTCCGCAATCGTATTTCATTATACGTCTTTTCATTGACCATCTTACTGGATGAAATTTATTTGTACGACATAAAAGTCTCTTCTATGTTCAAAAAGACGATACAAATCTAACTTTAGATCATTCAATAGTGCGCTGAAGTTTTAATACTTGTATCAGGATGTTTAGAAAACTAAAGCTTTCATATAACTACTGAAATTTTGTACTGAATATTGTCGAAGAATAAATGCACGAAGATGTGCAATAACTAAACAAGCACCAGCAATTCACTTTATTTAAAATTGGAGATGGAAGACCATGAACATGTCAAAAATCTTTGTTCTCGTTGTCGTAGCGGAAACACGATCTCATATAATTTTGATTTAGCCCGATCAGCTGCTTGCATGATGTTACATAGAGTAGGATGTGCATAAAAAATTTTGAAATTCCATGAGGCGTCCGGCTTCCATCTAGATTACATCTCTGTATGCTATATTTATATAAATCTGTGTACAAGCATCCGATTTGCAAGGTGAAAGCTTTGCAAAGATCAAGTGAATTTTATTTTCCAATGTGTTGTAGAGCACTCGATAGAGAATTCAACGGAGATCATAAATATCATCACCCCCCCTCCCAAAATCGTTTCGGTGCCGAGAGATCCTCAAAATACTGAGGAGTCAAAAATCCAAATCCTCGTTTATCGAAAAAGCTCCGTAGTTTGGCCCCCCTAAGGTCATAAAGCTTTGCAACCGGGGTATTCGGATGCAGCGTTGAAAAGTGAATCTAGCCATGTAGCTAGATGCTCAAAGCTCTAATTCTAAAACTGGTTTTTTGATAACGCAGTTAGAGTCAATCGCACTTTGGAACGCTTTGTCGTCTGATATTAGAAACTGTAAAAGCTTACTTATTTTTCGGCAATTAGCGAAGAATCATTTCTATAGAGTTCCATTAGTTTATCGAGTCTATAATATACCTCTTGAAGCTGATATTATTTACTATCACATTCGAATAGGTTTTTCTTAGCTGAAGGCAAATTTTTATAAGAAACAACTCTCTATCACAAATTTGTGTCTATGCGGTGCAATTGAAACAAGAGAACATCATATGCTTCATTGCCCGAGATATGCGGAAAATAGACAGTTGTTACAAAACAAGTTGCTTAACGAACTGATTGGTGATCGATTGTTCATGTCTCGTCTAACAGTTAAAGTTCCTCTCTCAAAGGATAATTTTGTTCTTGTTGTACGTACTATCATTAAGTATGTAATTGATACAAAGCATTTTTCTACATTGTTAAATCTTGAACTGTAGTTATAGTTATTATGTGTATTTTTATTACTGATTCTCTTGTCAGTTGCACTTACTGACACACTACAGATTCCAATTTTGTAATATATTCTTATACAAATATAAACTACTATATGTATTTTTCTTTTCTAACAACTTATATTCACACACAAAATATTGTTTCTCTTCTTTGAATATTCAATTTGAATATTCTTTCTTTCATTATTCCAGCTATTAACATTAACATTAACATTCTTGTTGTTTTATTTTCTTGTTTTAAATTAAAAGTGCTCATCTACCTACATCTGATATAATGGGTTTCCGCTTGGGGGTAGGTAGGTTAGTTTCTCCTTCTTAGTCGTAATCATAATAAAGCTTAAACATTATATGCTTCATTTACATTATTAGCTTAAACATTATATGCTCCGTCAATAAATAATTTATTTTTCCTTCCTTGTGCCCTTTTTGCAACGGAAAAGTCTGAACAGTGGAAGCGAGTTAGGACAGTTGGCATCTACTTCCTGTCAACAATACGCTCGATTAGCGATAGTATATAATGATAGTAATAGTAATTCAGAGATAGTAAATAATATCAGGTTCAAGAGGTATATTATAAACTCGATAAACTAATGAAACTTTATAGAAATGATTCTTCGCTAATTGCCGAAAAATAAGTAAGCTTTTACAGTTTCTAATATCGAACGACAAAGCGTTCCACAGTGCGATTGTTGAAGGAAAAAAGGAGTTTTTAAATTTCTTTAAAGAAGAAAAAATATTAGATACCTTAGCATCATACTGCGAACGAAAATCATATCTGTGATTATTTTTAGTTAGTAATAGTGCTACTAGGTACGAAGGAGCGAAACCGCAGACAATTTTATGAAATAAAATTAGTTTATGTGGGCGAAACAATATTTCCAGTGGTATCCAACCTAACACTCCTAATACATTTTCAGTATTTGCTAAGCGCAAAACACCAATAACAATTAATGCAGCTGTAGCTCCACATTTTAAGATATTAAGGGGCACTTGCCATTTTTCCGACTATAGACTTAGCCTATCCGTCGATGCCGAAAACATCTCTCTCTAGTAGTATTGATAACGTTAAGACACCTAGGCCCCATTTTAACTCAATATTTCATATATCATTTTGTAGTCCGTGAAATTCTCTGTCGAATGATACATAAAGTGAAGTGGTTAAATGATCTATTTTATGATCGTTTTGTCTGGTCATCAAATCTTGTTTCGATATTAATAGAAGTAGGCAACGATTTTTTTCAATACTTTAATAACTAATAATGCAACTGGGTAGAATTTCAGTCTTTTTTACTTTATTTGTCAAGAATCGAATATTTCGACCTTTACGGTAATTGCCAGTGATAGAAGCACTGTGCTCAAGAATGAAAGTAACAGAACTATAGATAGATTCAGATAAGTATTTTCATCTTACTTGACAGAATCAGACGAAAACCGGACTATATATATTTTCTTTTTTGAAACATACTTACTTACATACATACTTTAAAAATTGTCTAGGTATTCTCAAAAACAGCAATCCGTAAAGGAAAACATCATATAATCTCGATTGTGCGTATAGTATGACTCATGTTTATAAAATCAGAATAATTTTTTGCCCTGAAAGTAAAATAAATTTGTCTCTTTAAAACTCACTGTTGATAATTAATTTTGCCACATTTCATTCCAGAGATTGTTCATATAAGGCGCCGCTAATTCAAAAGTTTAGCATATTTTTATTTCTCGTTTTCTTATACATCATAGGACAGAGAATTTCACGCTGATCAGTGATATCACTTTTTTAGCCTTTGTACTACACGTTTTTATGGAAAGAAATTTGAAATACTCTGAGAGTCTCAACATCGGGAAAAATCGTCGTATTTCAAAGAAGTATAACATTCAAACTATAATTTCGAAAAGTAAGAATAGCTTTTTCTCCTTTGTATTCTAAAGCGTCCAACGTTATTTTTCGGATTTAGCATTAAAAATTGAATTAGAAAATGTTTTTTGAAATTTTTCCATATGTCATACGATTGTAGGAAAAATTCGTTTACAAGCATAGCTCCAAAGCGAGGGCCTCGCCTTAGAAAGCTATCTAGTTTTCTGTGTTAATATATGGAGCTCTAATTCTTGCGCCATTCGATCGGTCTTAATCTGTAGTACAAAAATTTGGATCGCTATTTTCTAAAATTTGTTTCGTTCCTGAGAATATACATTTTTCTGAACCAGCAGCGAAAAAAATCTGAATTCGGCCCGTAATGCTCTATTTTCTCCATCAGAACTCATTTTTTATGCAATAAAAATAGGCGTTCTGCTGGAAGTCCTTAAAGCATGATCCCTTGGTCATTGATTTAATTGTAAATTAATTAATAAATCCGTAAATTCTTCTTCATTTTCTGCATTTAAATTACGATCCCGTATTTGTATAATTAATTGTTCACTATCAATTTTTCATATGTATTTTCATCACTAATTTCTTCAATTTTTGTCACTAACAATGCAATGATTTGTGTATTTTTAATATCACGTAAAATTTTTCTCCATCGTGAAATTTTTTTATACGGCTCATTTGTGAACAAGTCGAATTTTAACAAAACCAATTCATTAATCCATTCATTTTATGGATAAACATTTATTATCCATTCATAAATAAATAAATTATCTTTATTCTGTTTGAAATATAAAATTCCCATTGATAATAACGTAATTATTTCATCTTTAATTTCAAAATTTTCAATATTCAAACGTTTTTTAATCGTTTTATTATTTTAAAATTTTCTATTTAATTTCGATGAAATCATTGTCAATACTAATCGTACACTGTCTCTTATTTTTTTCATCATCAAAATAATTATAGATTTCATTAATTTCTTTGTTTTTGATCATCGTAATTTAATAAATCGATTGTCAATGTAACAAACAGATTGGATATTTGTTGAATTTTTATTATGTGTTAACTTACATATGTATTTAATAAAGT